TTCAATTCCAACCAGCTCTATCCAAAGAGCTCAGCAACCCCACATGGGCAGCGGCTGACGCATTCAAGAACCACTCTGAGGCCCCTCCATCTAACCTCAGGGAAGTCGAGGGCCTGGACCCCCTTTCCTGCCAGAGATCCTGCCCATCTCTCTACTCGCGCCCAAGGGTGGGAGAGGCAGTGCCCAGTGAGAGAGCCAGGGCTACAGGAAGGAGGTGTCCACAGGTCGACCTCTGCTGCCCACCTTTGCTGGGCAGGGCTCCCTCACTCTTCCAAAGGTCAGACAGTGAACAAAGAGTGTCGGGCTTCAGGAAGCGGAAACCCCGTCTTCAGATCTGTCCACAGACTTGACCACCAAAGTTTGGATGTGGAGGGAATAAAGGCAAACTTTTTGTTATGCAATTTGCCCTTGGCCCTGATGGTTAGGCTATGGCCAGCTGTTTCTTCCTGTGGTGTGGGGACTGTGTGAGTTTAAGCACCAAGCATGTCAACATGCATTTCTGTATAACTTATCCCCATCTAACAAGAGGCCTCACTTTAAATAAAGGAAAAGGAAATCAATACTGATACAGTGCCTTCTGTTTGCCAAGTAACTATCAGTAAGCAACCTGTTATTTGAATCCTGGCATCCTGACTGCACGGGTGTATGTATCATTTAGCTATTGCTGCATAACAATCACCCTAAGCCTTATTAGCTCATGATTGGGATGGTCAGTCATTTACGCTGGACTCAACTGGGCCATTCTTCTGGTCTCAGCTGGGCTCCTTCAGGCATGTGTGGTCAGCTGCTGGTTGACTAAGTGGCTCTGCTTCTGGGCATGAGCTGGCTGTCAACTGGGGCACCTTTGTTTTCCTCCCCAATGGAATCTCATCCTCCAGCAGGGTAACATGTGGCTATTCTCATGGAGATGGCAGGTTTCTAAAATAAAAAGCAGAAGCATTCAAGGCCTTTTGTCCCTAGACCCCAAACTGTCATACTGCCATATTCATAGCTTTCTATTGCCCAGAGCAAATAAGGCCAGTCCAGATCCAAGTGTCAGGAAACAGATACTGCTTCTATGTTGGAGCAGCTGTAAAAGCATGTTCCAAAGGGCATGGACACCAGAGGGGATGCAGACTTGCTGCCATTTTGGCAATCAGTATCATTCTGCCTTTTCTTACAACAAGGTTTATATAACTGTTCCAAGTCAAGGAACTTGTCCAAAGTGCTACAGCTACTGAGTAGCTGGACTGGGACTCAGGATAAACTTTACCTGACTCCAAAGCCCATGTACTTCCATAGACCTTACAACTCAAGCAGCTTCCCTAGGCCTTTGAGATCCTGAAGACTGACTCTTCTGCAATAGAATAAAGGTTCTTTTGAGATGCTCATCCTTCTAGTAGGATTCTTCACAATTAGGAGTAATCCCCACCAGAGAATGCTTCTGAAATGTCTTGGAAACATTTAGAATAATTTGGGAAAATGGCTGATGGCTGATGTCTGAGTTTAAAAAATCAAGGCATAACTTTTTCATTTCTTATCATAAGAGAGATCTGAAAGCACATATAATGGACTGAACAGGTGTGGAAATTATTTTCATCCCCGTTCGTTATTTGTAGGCCGTTTATGATTTTTAACACAGACTAAATTAGACTGCTGTTCCTGAAACAACGTTTTACACTGAAAGCAAGAGACACAAAGGTAGATCTGCTGAGAACACAGTTCCTCCTGCCTCAATTTAGCCAAACAGCTGAGTACATCTTAAAGTCAGCCTTTGATTTCTAACAAGTTAAGCTATTTGTGAAGACCCCAATCAGATCATATGACTGCTTCAGCTACTTCATCATCCCAGAAGGTTGACCAGACAGATCAAAGCTCTAGGGGTGGAGTGGTGAGAGGACCCGCACTAGCGGGTGGGCAGCCATAGGTCCATAGGTGAGAATCGTTCATTAGGTGGAGTGTTTTGGGGTCCTGACATTTATGACACAATTAACGTCTATATTACTAAAGGTAAATTATAGAATATTACAAATAATAAATGTACATATAAATTGAACATGTCAGCAATTACAATTATTGTTATTCATCATTATTCTAAGTGTGATCATTATTACCATGAGTAGAAATAGTGGTTGTGATTGTTGTTGCTGCTGCTGTTGCTGCAGGGATTGTGATAAAAACACCAAGTAAGGCTCTGCTGCCTCCTCCGCCTATGGCATCGGGGGCTGCTGGCTCGCTAGTTTGGTGCATACTCTGGATGTCTTTTGTGAAGCTGCAGCTGAAGAACCTTCAGGTTCTGCTATGGCAGAGAAAGAGCCTGAGTCAAGGCCAAGGGCAGAATCCTATGAATTTGAAGGTGGTGGGTAGGATGGTCCTGGGGTGCAGTTGACGGTGAAGAGGTGCACACCACTTAGTGAATGAGTGGAAGCCTTTGGTGAAAGGCAGAGTTTGTCCATGACACAGATCAGATTGCACTTTGGGGCCAATCAGTGAAACAGACACATCTGCAGAACTGGAAATGGAGGACAAAGTTTCAGTTGATGTGTTCCAGAAGCAGACGGGAGTGTCTACTGAAAGCACACTCACTGTTTTACCCCAGAACTCTGTTCCTACAGACCAAGCAGACATTCTCATGTGGAAAACTGCAATGTGGTTCCACCACATCTGAGGTCCAGTATCCCTTTCTCTATTCTTCACTTTCTCCTTCTTCATTCCTTTACTGTACAGAAATTATCAAGTGCAACTGCAAAAGCATATGGATGATTTTGTTTGCTTGTTTGTTTGATTGTACTGAATCACCAGTGGCTTGTGTTGAGTGATTTCCAGTGGACACAAGGCGAGGGAAAACACTGATTCCAATTAAACAAAACATTGTTCAATTGGAGAATTTTATTTTTAAAATATTCCATTGTGAAACTAAAGACGATTTCATAACTTTTTAAAATTTAGCTGTTACACCTAGGGCAAATCTGTCCTTACACAGGAGTAGTGACACCTACAAGAACAGAATGAATCCCAGATATGTTCCTTTTCAAATTCAGCATCTGGTTGTTTAAATACACATCTCATGTAAAATAAAAAAATATATATTTTAAAATGTATATAAATAGAAACATGAAGTTTCTCTAGCCACCAAGTAAGTTGGTTGGACTGAAAATGAGAGTGAAGGGGTTTCTTTCTGCAATACATTTGAAGTCCTCTCAGGAACCAAGGAACTGTCCACACCCTCTGAACTAGCCCCCTCTTCTTCTGCCTGGGGCAGGGTGCCCTGTGAGATTCCCATGTCCTGGCCCAGCAGGTATATGGAGGTGGGAGGTTGTCTGTCTTACACACAGGCAGACATCTCTGGTCCAAGTCCCTCTGGAAGGTCTTCCCAGAGTCCCCATAAGCTGCTAGAGTGACACCCTCCCAGAAAAGGTATACAGGTGAATTGTTCTTGGGCATCAGTCCATGGGTGATACCAAGCCACACTGTGCCCTGGATAGAGGGCAACCCATCTAATGCAAACTACAGTAAAGCTCTTTTTTTTTTTTTCTGAGACAGAGTCTTGCTCCACTGCCCAGGCTAGAGTGCAGTGGCATGATCTCAGTTCACTGCAACCTCCACTTCCTGGGTTTAAGCCTTTCTCCTGCCTCAGCCTCCCAAGTAGCTGGGATTATGGGCACCCACCATGATGCCCAGCTAATTTTTGTATTTTCAGTAGAGATGGGGTTTTGCCATGTTGGCCAGGCTGGTCTTGAACTCAGGTGATCCTCCCACCTCGGCCTCCCAAAGTGCTGGGATTATAGGCCTGAGCCACTGTGCCCGGCCCAAACTACAGTAAAGCTCTATCTGCTGACAAAATTTTAGAGCCAGGAAATGAGACGTCCTCTTTATGCTTGGAAGGAAAGGAGAACAGGCTAGAAGTGGTTGGTGCATGTGTTCATGACTGCCATTGTCAGGGTGAGCTGAGAAGTGCATCGGCTCAGAAAAGGACTGTGCTGCATGACAAGCTGGAGGGGGTGTGACAGGGGAAGACTATAAACAAAATGTGTAAAGTAAAATGGAAGTTCCACTCATGGAAACATAGAACATTCTTTCCTCACAGTGAAGAAAACAGAAAGAAGAAAGAAACCTGAAAACTGGCTTTATTTCAAGAACAACAAAATCTATAATCAAGCCCTAATTATGCTGTGGAAGGCATATCTCTGCTTTCATGCAATGATTGGATGAAACCTGCTATGAGTACATCGTCCCAGCTGGCTACAGCAAGCTTGTCCAACCCGCAGCCCATAGGCTACATGGGACCCAGGATGGCTTTGAATGTAGCCCAACACAAATTCATAAACTTTCTTAAAACATTATGATTTTTATTTTTAGCTCATTAGCTATCATCAGTATTAGTATATTTTATATGTGGTCCAAGACAATTCTTCCAATGTGGCCCAGGGAAGTCAAAAGATTAGACACCCCTGTGCTACAGGGTTCTAGAAAAATAAGTGATGTGGTTTGGTTCTGTGTCCCTACCCAAATCTCATTTCGAATTGTAATCCTCACTTGTCAAGGGAAGGACCTGGTGGGAGGTGATTGGATCATGGGGGCATTTTCCTCCATGCTGTTCTCATGATGGTGAATGAGTTTTCATGAGAGTTGATAGTTTGAAAGGGTGGTGCCTCCCGTGTCTCTGGTAAGATTCAATGAATTTCTCTGAGTTTCTCTTCAAAAATTTAGCGGCTAACTTCCTTGTCTCTGATTCTCAAACTCAACTTTCCTGTTCCTCCTTGCCCCTGGTTACTGTAAAACAGCCTACCCCTTTACCAAGTCAGCTCTAATCAATAACTCACATCTGTTCCCTTGGTTACCTGCACCAATTGTTCCCCTGAAACTGCACGTCTCACACATTCCATCTCTGTACCTCACGTCCCATTCCTCTTCTATATTTAGAAAAATATGTACAAGTAGCCAATCAGGTCAGCTCAGTTTGTGCCATCCGACCCCAGCCCATCAGGGAGGGACACAGAAGTAGGGATTGTGTTAAAAATACAAAAACCCCGTAGTCTCCTTTGTTCCCTGTGCTCTTGCGATCTTGATTGATGCAAGTGGCACCCTTCTGCAGAAGTAAATTTCTTTGCTAAGAGAATTAAACTTTTGCCTGAGTGCTGGTTTTACATCACGGCACCGAGCATTTATTCCTGGAGCATTTTATATCCAACAATTCTGGGGGCTCATCTGGGATCCCCTTCTCCTTCGAGAAGGGGTCTTCCCTCACTCTACCCAGGGGAAACGCGTCCCACTGTCCTGTTGCAGTGGCCTCAGGGACAGGAGATCAAGACCCATCCATTGTGATGAAAAAACCTGAATTCTCAGCAACGTGGGGAAGAAAGGCTTGCAATACCGTAGCGACCAGGTAACTCTGTGCCAAGGTAGGAAATGTCGCAGGGGTGATAAAGTACTTCCTTGGTGGTCGGGGGTGGGGTCGGGGCATTCTGGAGGTTGAAAGAGCGTGAATGGTAACAAGCACTGCTGCTGTGCGGAGTGAGTCCAATCTGGGGTTCCGTGGTCACCTCATGCTGCTTAGGGTGGCCCTTCGGAGGTCCAGTCATGGGTTTTATACTGACCGGCCATCAATGCTAAGAGGGATCTGAAATATTCAGGTGAGGGAAGCGGCCACAGTGGACAAAGTGAAAGAAGGATGCAAGGAGCCTCCAGCAGGTGGAGCTAAAGGATAGGGGAATTGAACCTTAACAAAGTTTCTAGTGAAGGAGGGGCAAGAGAACGCCTAATATGAGGGGCTGAGCCACAAGGAACCCCCCAAATAGGCAAGAGATTCCTAATATGAGGGATTGAGCCTAGCCAGGACCCAATATGGGAAATATTACAAGCAAAAAAGATAAAGTTAGCAACAAAGATATCTCCCCTGATAGTCCCCTAGGTCTCATGTTAAACACTGGAAAGATAATGAAAAGACTAAACATAAGAAAAAACAACAAATGATAAAATATTGCTGTTCCATTTGGACTCAAGAACCAATCCTTGAACCCTTAGTTTTCTGGCCAGAATTTGGGTCAAATGAGGAATGGAATTGTGAACTTCTAATAGAAAATGTTGCTAGTAGACCCGCCTCCCAAGATGAAATAGATTATGCCCTATGTTGGTGGCAAGGACTTGTCCTTTCCCCTCCTCCAAGAATTGAAAGGAGCAAGTCAAAAACTAATATTTGGAGGAAAGGTAGTTGCACACACACCCCATTAAAATAGAACTATCTTAAATGAAAAAAACAGTGAAGGAAGGGGCTGGCTCGGGGGATCCTAGCAAAAAGAACAGCACACAGGATCCCCTAGACCATCCCCCCCCAATACACCCAGCCCTTCCCCTCAGGCAGCCAGTCCCCACCCCTTGAAAGGACTCTAAGCTCCTAAGTTTCCAGGTGGCTTTTGTCCAGCTGACAACATCAAGGATGGGCTGCAACATGTTGTCAGCATCTTCCAGGTTCCCGGCACCGTATTAATGGCAACTCTGTGGGACACGCGGGTCCGGCCCCTGCCTATGCCCCAAGCAGGTAATCTTTCAGCTGATATATCCACTAGCATTTATTGTGGTCAGGCCAGTGTTAAAAGCGAAAATATCCAACAGAAAAAAACTTTGATTCTTTAAAGTCACTTATATTAAAATATGCCATCAGAAAAAAATTACATATGTATAAGCATGAGGCTACTCTGTTAAAAAAGATGGTTTACATTAAGGGAGGAGACCACCCCTCATATCATCTTATGCCCAATTTCTGCCTCCAAAGAAAGAAGTAGTAAAAACTAAAAGGCAGAAATGAAATCCACAGGCAGACAGCCCGGCGCCACACCCTGGGCCTGGTAGTTAAAGATTGACCCCTGACCTAATCGGTTGTTATCTATAGATTACAGACATTGTATAGAAAAGCACCGTGAAAATCCCTATCTTGTTTTGTTCTGATCTAATTACCGATGCATACAGCCCCCAGTCACGTAACCCCTGCTTGCCCAATCAATCACGACCCTCTCACATGCACCCCCTTAGAGTTGTGAGCCCTTAAAAGGGACAGGAATTGCTCACTTGGGGAGCTCAGCTCTTGAGACAGGAGTCTTGCCAATGCCCCCGGCCAAATAAACCCCTTCCTTCTTTCACTCGGTGTCTGAGGAGTTTTGTCTACGGCTTGTCCTGCTACAACATTAACTACTGATAATTCAGTTAACCTAGCAAGTTTCTTGATGAGAGATCCAAATCTAAAAAGAAAGCACACATGTTTAGATTTAACTGATTACCATACAAACGTCTGGCCAAACTTAAGAGAAACCCCCTTCAAAAGTGATTAAGAGAAAAAGGACACAACGGGTGTTCAGTAATTAATAAAGAAGTTCCTAGAGAAATAAAGTAAAAAAATTGTTTAATAATTAGTGTGCCCAAATTTGTAAGCTGTTTGCACTTAGTCAAGCTTTAGAGTACCTGCAGAAGAACCATCTATGCTAATCTATACTGATTCTAAATACGCCTTTACAGTAGCTCATATGTTTAGAAAATTTCAAACTGAAATAATAGTAAAAGTCAAAGCCTTGTTCATGAGGAGTTAATCACCCAAGTGTTAAATAACCTTCAGTTACCAGAAAAGAAAAAAATAGCTACTGTCCGTATCCCCAGGCACCAAAAAAGCCTGTTTTTCAAGAGTTAAGAAAATAACCTACCAAATCAGATAAGCCAAACCGGCTGCCATTTCTCCTGTAGGCGCTAAAAGGGAACTCAGAGAACTGCTATTCAAACCTCTTACGAAGGAAGTCCTATCCTACCTACATTAGAGGACCCATTAAAGACCCCAAGCCATGTATAGCACAAAGTTTATATGTGTATAGGAATTTATACCTTTAGCCAAACAAGTCTAGAGACTTGGTTGCCATAAATCAAATGTCTTCTGTCTTCCTAGTACCCTAGTAAGAATCCAAACTACCTCTCAAAACAATCCACTGCCAACATTCTTATACACTTGGTTTATCTTCCACCTTCTCTTCCCTCAGAACTCAAAATTTTCCAGTACAAGCGCTGCTCCTAGAGTTCCCAGTACATCAACACCAGCCTAAGGAGCCAACCTAGTACTTCCCACCACTGAAACCGCAGTCCAGACAGCAGAGAAAGGATGGACCCATCACACCTGAGTCAAGAAAGCACCACTACCCTTGAAGTCTTGGGTCATTATTCCAGGGGAAAACTCCCTCAAACTAAAGCTAAGAAAAATTGAACTCTCTTCCATCTATTCTATTAGTCTTCCTTCTTTTCCCCTTCCAATGCTGACCACCTTGTCATTAATGTAACTAAATCAAGCTCACTCCAAGTTATCACATTTAATGCTTGTCTAGTCATACCCTGTAGAGATCTCCAAAGTTGGAGGCAGCTCTCAGCCTCAGAAAGGTATCTCTGCCCCTTTAAGGTGAAAGGCTGTCCCTACCAAGACTCTTGTTCCTTAACAAATGTAGGAAAACAAGTCTGTCATAGCTGAAATAATGTCCTATGGACAACCAGATATCAAGGCTGGACCTCATCAGTGGGTGGTGGTATATCCTTAAAACCATACATTCATTTCACTAAAGAGAGCACCTCCCCCAATTGCCAGTATAACCGATGTAATGCTGTACTAATTTCTTTTATTATTATTATTATTATTATACTTTAAGTTCTAGGGTACATGTGCATAACGTGCAGGTTTGTTACATATGTATACTTGTGCCATGTTGCTGTGCTGCACCCATCAACTCGTCAGCACCCATCAACTCGTCATTTACATCAGGTATAACTCCCAATGCAATCCCTCCCCCCTCCCCCCTTCCCCCTCCCCATGATAGGCACCAGTGTGTGATGTTCCCCTTCCCGAGTCCAAGTGATCTCATTGTTCAGTTCCCACCTATGAGTGAGAACATGCGGTGTTTGGTTTTCTGCTCTTGTGATAGTTTGCTAAGAATGATGGTTTCCAGCTGCATCCATGTCCCTACAAAGGACAAAAACTCATCCTTTTTTATGGCTGCATAGTATTCCATGGTGTATATGTGCCCCATTTTCTTAATCCAGTCTGTCACTGATGGACATTTGGGTTGATTCCAAGTCTTTGCTATTGTGAATAGTGCCGCAATAAACATACGTGTGCATGTGTCTTTATAGCAGCATGATTTATAATCCTTTGGGTATATACCCAGTAATGGGATGGCTGGGTCATATGGTACATCTAGTTCTAGATCCTTGAGGAATCGCCATACTGTTTTCCATAATGGTTGAACTAGTTTACAATCCCACCAACAGTGTAAAAGTGTTCCTATTTCTCCACATCCTCTCCAGCACCTGTTGTTTCCTGACTTTTTAATGATCGCCATTCTAACTGGTGTGAGATGGTATCTCATTGTGGTTTTGATTTGCATTTCTCTGATGGCCAGTGATGATGAGCATTTTTTCATGTGTCTGTTGGCTGTATGAATGTCTTCTTTGGAGAAATGTCTGTTCATATCCTTTGCCCACTTTTTGATGGGGTTGTTTGTTTTTTTCTTGTAAATTTGTTTGAGTTCTTTGTAGGTTCTGGATATTAGCCCTTTGTCAGATGAGTAGATTGCAAAAATTTTCTCCCATTCTGTAGGTTGCCTGTTCACTCTGATGGTAGTTTCTTTTGCTGTGCAGAAGCTCTTTAGTTTAATGAGATCCCATTTGTCAATTTTGGCTTTTTGCTGCCATTGCTTTTGGTGTTTTAGACATGAAGTCTTTGCCCATGCCTGTGTCCTGAATAGTACTACCTAGGTTTTCCTCTAGGGTTTTTATGGTATTAGGTCTAACATTTAAGTCTCTAATCCATCTTGAATTAATTTTCGTATAAGGAGTAAGGAAAAGATCCAGTTTCAGCTTTCTACTTATGGCTAGCCAATTTTCCCAGCACCATTTATTAAATAGGGAATCCTTTCCCCATTTCTTGTTTCTCTCATGTTTGTCAAAGATCAGATGGCTGTAGATGTGTGGTATTATTTCTGAGGACTCTGTTCTGTTCTATTGGTCTATATCTCTGTTTTGGTAGCAGTACCATGCTGTTTTGGTTACTGTAGCCTTGTAGTATAGTTTGAAGTCAGGTAGCGTGATGCCTCCAGCTTTGTTCTTTTGACTTAGGATTGTCTTGGAGATGCGGGCTCTTTTTTGGTTCCATATGAACTTTAAAGCAGTTTTTTCCAATTCTGTGAAGAAACTCATTGGTAGCTTGATGGAGATGGCATTGAATCTATAAATAACCTTGGGCAGTATGGTCATTTTCACGATATTGATTCTTCCTATCCATGAGCATGGTATGTTCTTCCATTTGTTTGTGTCCTCTTTTATTTCACTGAGCAGTGGTTTGTAGTTCTCCTTGAAGAGGTCCTTTACATCCCTTGTAAGTTGGATTCCTAGGTATTTTATTCTCTTTGAAGCAATTGTGAATGGAAGTTCATTCATGATTTGGCTCTCTGTCTGTCTGTTACTGGTGTATAAGAATGCTTGTGATTTTTGCACATTAATTTTGTATCCTGAGACTTTGCTGAAGTTGCTTATCAGCTTAAGGAGATTTTGGGCTGAGACAATGGGATTTTCTAAATATACAATCATGTCATCTGCAAAGAGGGACAATTTGACTTCTTCTTTTCCTAACTGAATACCCTTGATTTCTTTCTCTTGCCAGATTGCCCTAGTCAGAACTTCCAACACTATGTTGAATAGGAGTGGTGAGAGAGGGCATCCCTGTCTTGTGCCAGTTTTCAAAGGGAATTTTTCCAGTTTTTGCCCATTCAGTATGATATTGGCTGTGGGTTTGTCATAAATAGCTCTTATTATTTTGAGGTAGGTTCCATCAATACCGAATTTATTGAACGTTTTTATCATGAAGGGCTGTTGAATTTTGTCAAAAGCCTTTTCTGCATCTATTGAGATTATCATGTGGTTCTTGTCTTTGGTTCTGTTTATATGCTAGATTTCGTTTATTGATTTGCGTATGTTGAACCAGCCTTGCATCCCAGGGATGAAGCCCACTTGATCATGGTGGATAAACTTTTTGATGTGCTGCTGGATTCGGTTTGCCAGTATTTTATTGAGGATTTTTGCATCGATGTTCATCAGGGATATTGGTCTAAAATTCTCTTTTTTTGTTTTGTCTCTGCCAGGCTTTGGTATCAGGATGATTCTGGCCTCATAAAATGAGTTAGGGAGGATTCCCTCTTTTTCTATTGATTGGAATCGTTTCAGAAGGAATGGTACCAGCTCCTCTTTGTACCTCTAGTAGAATTCAGCTGTGAATCCATCTGGTCCTGGACTTTGTTTGGTTGGTAGGCTATTAATTATTGCCTCAATTTAAGAGCCTGCTATTGGTCTATTCAGGGATTCAACTTCTTCCTGGTTTAGTCTTGGAAGAGTGTAAGTGTCCAGGAAATTATCCATTTCTTCTAGATTTTCTAGTTTATTTGCGTAGAGGTGTTTATAGTATTCTCTGATGGTAGTTTCTATTTCTGTGGGGTCGGTGGTGATATCCCCTTTATCATTTTTTATTGTGTCTATTTGATTCTTCTCTCTTTTCTTCTTTATTAGTCTTGCTAGCGGTTTGTCAATTTTGTTGATCTTTTCAAAAAACCAACTCCGGGATTCATTGATTTTTTGGAGGGTTTTTTGTGTCTCTCTCTCCTTCAGTTCTGCTCTGATCTTAGTTATTTCTTGCCTTCTGCTAGCTTTTGAATGCGTTTGCTCTTGCTTCTCTAGTTCTTTTAATTGTGATGTTAGCATGTCAATTTTAGATCTTTCCTGCTTTCTCTTGTGGGCATTGAGTGCTATAAATTTCCCTCTACACACTGCTTTAAATGTGTCCCAGAGATTCTGGTATGTTGTATCTTTGTTCTCATTGGTTTCCAAGAACATCTTTATTTCTGCCTTCATTTCGTTATGTACCCAGTAGTCATTCAGGAGCAGGTTGTTCAGTTTCCATGTAGTTGAGCGGTTTTGATTGAGATTCTTAGTCCTGAGTTCTAGTTTGATTGCACTGTGGTCTGAGAGACAGTTTGTTATAATTTCTCTTCTTGTACATTTGCTGAGGAGTGCTTTACTTCCTATTATGTGGTCAATTTTGGAATAAGTGCTATGTGGTGCTGAGAAGAATGTATATTCTGTTGATTTGGGGTGGAGAGTTCTATAGATGTCTATTAGGTCTGCTTGCTGCAGAGATGAGTTCAATTCCTGGATATCCTTGTTAACTTTCTGTCTCGTTGATCTGTCTAATGTTGACAGTGGAGTGTTGAAGTCTCCCATTATTATTGTATGGGAGTCTAAGTCTCTTTGTAAGTCTCTAAGGACTTGCTTTATGAATCTGGGTGCTTCTGTATTGGGTGCATATATATTTAGGATAGTTAGCTCTTCCTGTTGAATTGATCCTTTTACCATTATGTAATGGCCTTCTTTGTCTCTTTTGATCTTTGATGGTTTAAAGTCTGTTTTATCAGAGACTAGTATTGCAACCCCTTGTTTTTTTTGTTCTCCATTTGCTTGGTAAATCTTCCTCCATCCCTTTATTTTGAGCCTATGTATGTCTCTGCGTGTGAGATGGGTCTCCTGAATACAGCAGACTGATGGGTTTTGACTCTTTATCCAGTTTGCCAATCTGTGTCTTTTAATTGGAGCATTTAGTCCATTTACATTTAAGGTTAAGATTGTTATGTGTGAACTTGATCCTGCCATTATGATATTAACTGGTTATTTTGCTCGTTAGTTGATGCAGTTTCTTCCTAGCCTCAATGGTCTTTACATTTTGGCATGTTTTTGCAATGGCTGGTACTGGTTGTTCCTTTCCATGTTTAGTGCTTCCTTCAGGGTCTCTTGTAAGGCAGGCCTAGTGGTGACAAAATCTCTAAGCATTTGCTTATCTGTAAAGGATTTTATTTCTCCTTCACTTATGAAACTTAGTTTGGCTGGATATGAAATTCTGGGTTTAAAGTTCTTTTCTTTAAGAATGTTGAATATTGCCCCCCACTCTCTTCTGGCTTGTAGAGTTTCTGCCGAGAGATCCGCTGTTAGTCTGATGGGCTTCCCTTTGTGGGTAACCCGACCTTTCTCTCTGGCTGCCCTTAAGATTTTTTCCTTCATTTCAACTTTGGTGAATCTGGCAATTATGTATCTTGGAGTTGCTCTTCTCGAGGAGTATCTTTGTGGTGTTCTCTGCATTTCCTGGATTTGAATGTTGGCCTGCCCTACTATGTTGGGG